GGTAATACTTTCTGTAAGGTAATACTTCTTCCTCCATGTTATCAAGTAGAAGTAATAATACTAAAGAATGAAGTGTAAATGTAATGATAACCTTGTTTGGAGACACTTTAGCCAGATAAAGTCACGATACCACAAATACCTTCAAACTATGCAGCAAGTTATCTTTAATCTTAATGTAATATACCCCTTAGCTGTGTTGGGATATCCTGTTCCTTATAAATGCTGATCTCCCTTAAAACTTCACACAGGGGACAGCAGTTTGCTCAGCAGATACAGCAGCAGAATCCTGAGCTCATAGAGCAACTGAGGAATCACATCCGGAGCAGATATTTGAGCGGCAGCACTGAAGAGCATTCCTGACTCCACGGAGGCATGTGAATTGGAATGATATATAACCCCAAAATGCATACCATAGTTAGTAGCAAAAGCACCATTGTAACTCTTCTGCTTGCATAGGAGACAGAAAACTCTTTGTGCGTGTTTGCAACCAAGAAGAAATCTGTTAAACAGATCTCTTGCACATAACTTGGAACATATCGTTTATGTATAGTTACTCCTCTGATAATTAATACACTGAATAGGTGGTTTATTGAAATACCCAAATCCAAGTCATTTCAGTGTGTGCATTAGATTGATCTCCAGGGCTGCTGAGTGGGGAGTTGTTCTGTAGTGTGCTGATCTTGCATAACAGCCTAACTCCACAATCCTAGTGCGTCAAACTCATGTTGTTATGGTGAGGATCATGGTGGCAGTACTCCCTGTCAGCTATTGGAACAACTGGCCCATCTGATGTGCCCTTTCACAATGAGCACAAAGCAATGTTAGAGTATAGAATGTACTTGAAGCCAATGCTTGAGAAGCCTGTGGAGGGGCCATCATTAGTAACATCAAATATTTCTCAACTCCACTGGGCAGGAGGAGGGAGATGATTGCATATGAAGGAGTACCACAAATTGTAGAGAAAAAGACAGTAATTCTGTGTAGTATGATACACAGAACTGAAAATGGAACTTGGCTTGTGAAAGGAAAGAATAACAGTAAGTTTTAGGCCTTCCTTGTGCCAAGTACACCCTCACACCATGGTGGTAGCCCTGGAGGTCAACATTACAGCACTATGTTCCTAGGCATGGCAAGCTGTGTTACATTCCATGTGTATGCAGTATTTAACATAAGCTTAAAATTCTTAACTGTAATAAGCTAAAACTGAGCCTGTGACTGTACACATAACTAGTACTGAAAACTTATCAAAAAAAAGAACTGCCTTAGAAGGATTCTTTTTCTATTCTTGTGTGGTAAATCACTGGCTTAAGCAATTGGGGATTCTTTCTTAAGTGTAATTACACATATCAATGTAAAATGATGGTGATATATAGCCAAGTTAAAAGATTTTTCCACTCTGTAGTATTTCGCTTCCTACCATGGCTCTCCTTGCTCAGTTCATCTTGCTCTTTCAGAGATCGCTGCTCTTCTGTACTTGTACTACGTTAACTTTTCTTCCTCTGCTTACTGTTCACACTGCTCCTGATACAACTTGTTCCTACTCCAGGAGGTTCTCAAGACTTTGCTCCTTGTATAGCCAAACTAATTTGAGAAGCCTGCTTTGATTCCTAAAGACACAGCGATCTCTGCTGGCCAGTTAGTCTGGAGAAGGTATGTGGAGGAGTAACAATAGACTCCCAAATGGAGAAACACATAGGAATTCCTGAACTTCAGACTTCTATATTTGATAGATCTTGTGCTCAAAAAAAAAAAAGGCTCCTCAAGTAGAAGCAAATGCAAGGTTTGGGGCTAAGTAATGTACTTGATTCTAAGAAATGATAGTTGTGAATCTATGATATGAGTCTTCCTCTATTAAAATGGAGAAAAATGCAGCTGGATTCAAGGAGAAATTAAAGGAACTGGAGAAAACACAAAAATAGAAAATCCACTTTAGCATCTGTTGAATAAAGAAGTAAAGCTTAATAGAGCAATTTAAACAATGTAAAGACATTTCATGCTTTATTGAATAGAGTTTGCCAATATACAGCACTAAAATGCTTCTTAAAATTACCTTTTTAAGTTGGCGTAGCTGCTTTTTTTGAGGCTATGGAGACACTTAAGCTTTGCTTGAAACACATTTCCAAGTAACAGCTTCTGACTTAACATCTGCTGACAAAAAAGAAAACCCCTAACAGGATCTTTTTTCCAGAGGTAGCTCAGATCCTGAATCTAATCCACTCCAGAAAAATGGTCCTTAAGTTCAGTTACATGTAGTAGGACAGGGCAGGATATCATTTACAGGAAAGACTGACTGAGGCTGTAGTGTGCTACAAACAGTGTATAAACATTACCTGGAGTAGTGTGTTGTATCAGGAGAAGCACTGCTCCTAGCATAGCTCCTGTTACACTTCAGGGTTCCTCTTAGTTCTTTTTCCTATCTGCAACTGCTCAAAGTGAATTTTACTACTGTGATAAAGGGAGCCAGTAAATCCAGTGGACTGGGTAGCACTGCAGTATCTCCCTCAAACTCAATTTATCCTTACTTTGTGATAACAATCTCGATGCACTGAGTTACCTTCATACTTTTATGACAGAAGGAGTGTCAAGAACCTCTTGAGAGTTCCTGAAGAGCTACAGAATATGTTAATATTCCAGGAGTGGCTGCAGAAGTTGTACTGTCAAGTACAAGCTTTGTAGCTTACTGAACTTATGGGAGAACTATCCCAAGGTTAAATGGAATGAAGCATTGGTTAGTTACCTGAAAAATCATAGAGTTAAAACTTTGATTTCACATGCTACAATATTGTCATGTTTAGGTTTTACTCCGGTACAGATAATAGAGTATTTATTAAAACATTGATGGCACTAACTAACCCTTCAGGAATGTGCTACAACTGGCACAATACTTGTAAACATTCTTTGTTTCTTGTGTATTAACAGAAAGGGCTTTATAGCCTCAACAGAAAAACAGTGGAACCAGTAACAGGAGCTGTCATTCCATGCTTTTCCATTGAAACAGGAACAGAGGGATCATTTATGCTCAAGTCTGCTTCTCCTTGAATAGTCTAGATTGTTTCAGAGAGTCATGCAATATGTCTTAATCACAGGGTGAGGAAGGAATCTTTTCCTATGTAATAACTGCACTTTATTTTGCACTAAAATTTTTCATCCTGCTAGATGAAGTGGTAAACCACAGTCCCTGTAAATACTGCTTCAGTTTAAGGTCAGTTGCAGTTTATCATCCAACTGAACAAATACACATTTACACCTCATTAGTTTTGTATCATTGCTGCTCCATCAGCATATTAAGTAGGATAATTGCTAGATAATAAAATATTTTGCACTCAGTTGTAAACTCCTGTAACCTGCTTGCATGGGAGTATATTCTTCTAATCATGTCTGATCATAAAGACACTTAATGAAATATTCAGCTTAGGAATCATTTCAGTTGCACTTTTGGTTTTGTAACAAGTACAAAGTAAAATCTTTCATAGATGCTGAGAAATTACTAAGTCTGCAACTGTGAATAGACTGATGGCTACAGGAAGTCATACTGGCATAATGCAACTTGTCTACCATTTCTGTATCTCTCCTACCTCTTATTACCATGCGGTTACATCTTCAATTTGTGTCAGTTTAACTTGAAGATATGTTATAAATAAAGTTATTTACTTTTTTTGGTCTGGATAGCTGTGGTTTTACTGGCTGAGTTTTTGTTGATGTACCTACAGTAACAGGTAAATTGCATTCTTTAGAATACCTGTTCATGCTGGTTGTTCTGCATTTTGTCAGAACCAGGGTATGGTTCTGATTTTCTTTTTCCTGTATGGATTTATCCCCTCAATTTAGGAAGCTGGTCCTAAATTTATACAATATTTTACAACTGAATTCTACATTTAAGGATTTTATATACAGGAAAGCCTTAAGTAAAATACTGTCAAAACTAACTGGGGTTGCTGAGTGCCCACACAGCAGCTGAGAAATACAACGAGCTGCTGAGTAGAACCTTTAACACTAATTTACCTAGTGTTAAAGTCACCATTTTTGCTGTTAAATATCTACCTTAGATATTTCATCCAAAAATATTTCCATCTTTTGTCAAAACAAAGCTATGGAAAATTACATATCAGTTCTTGATCAAGTCCTGAATTCCTTCCTGTATCTGCTTTGGAGAACTTGATCTAAGTCTACTATGCAGGGTGTTTTTTTCCTTCTTAAAAATCCATTAAATGCCTCTGGGATGGGAAGAATAATTTGCACCAACTCAGTTTAACAATAAAAAACCCACCTGAGTTCTGCTCTTCTAGTTTTCTGTTCCTTACTAACTGGAAAACAACATGCAGAGGTGCACAGCATGCTCTGTATGGCAGGGACACACAACCACGCTCATGACTGCAGATAGCAAATCTGTCCCAACTGTGTGACTCCTTTTAAAAGACTCAGCCACAACCAGCACAGCCTTTGGCTGATACATCACTCTCTCATCTCATTTCTTTATCAGGCTCTGTTTCTCAGGGGGCTGTGCACGTGCACTGCAAATTCACTGCCACACCACAGACCCCAGAGTATTTCCTTTAAGGGCTCGGATTCCAGGAATTTGACATTTTATAGACAGTTCCTTCACACTGAAGCAGTTCTGTCAGAAAAAATGATTTTAAAATGGTTTAAATACTTCAAAAGTAAGAAAAATAAGCACAAAGTGCTATTTCTTACCCATCTCATCCCTCTGTCCTGAGGTGGTGTTAAATGCAACATAATTTGCAAGAGATACACTTTTTTTCCAAACGTTTTATTTTTAGTAGATAGTATCTTTTCAAAACATGCATATGCATTTTAATACATTCAGGAAATGCTCAGAGGAATTAAATAATCATAATTACATTTACATCTACACAGGGATTTGGTTTTGTTTGTGTACATTTTAGTATGATTTGACTGAAAAAACATCATGAGAAGTTGGTCAAAAACAAAACAGAAAAAAAAAAAAAGCCCGGCAGAGCTACAGATTTTTTCGTTCAGCTCTATTTGACTTCTGATGAAACTACACAGACTTGGGCAATATCATCATACTCATATGTCCTCTTCAAAAACGTGTCTGTAAGTCTTAAGCCAGAGACACTCTAGAAAGGGAAAATATTTACAAGGGTTGTTATAAAGATTTATATTAAGCTTATAAAACAGCTATTTTATACCAAAACTGTGCTAATGACTTACTTGCAATCCCTGCACTGAAGACAACAGTGTGAGTGCAAGATGAAGGGATGAACTTGGGTGCAGCTTTCCGAGTTGCCTTCCTGAAACTCCACACCAGTGGATGGAATTGGTGTTGCACATTTCCAACACCAGATCCATAGTCCTTTCACTGCTAGAGGAAAGTGAAAAACAAGAATAAACCTGTGGGCTTCTGTAAGCATTTGTGGGTTGCAGACATGTAAAAGCTTGACTGTTATTCAGGTTACTATCAATCAAGTATCTATAATTACAAGGCAGCAAGACAGATTTACTGTGATAGAGTAATTCAATTGCACATAGCTGTGTTTGACACAAGCATCTTGTCATGGGTTTAGCAATCCTGGTTACCATAGTACTGCTCACATTTTGGGTGGACTACAAGATTCTCATGAGAAGTATCTGCACACCAGACAAGCTTCAGTCCCTGGTCCCAACTTCTACTTAGAATTACTTCATTTAAATGTCACTCTTACAACCCTAAGACAATTTGTGATTTAAGTGTGAGGTGCAATCTTTAATTCTGTAGACAGCTCCATGGAATTCAACTACAAGTTTTTGGCAATCTCCTACTTTACACAGTATTAACAGATCATTATGGAAGTTTTTTAGTTGTTTTATGCCACCATAATTCACAAGATGTGTTTCAAGTAATTTCATGTTTCTGCAACTCATAGTCAAGACCAGGTTTAAGTTGTTTCAGGAGAAAGTATTGAGAAATGAAACCAAACCAGCCACAACTTACCCACTCAGGAAAAAGCACAAGAATCACATGACATTGTTACCTGCAATTTGTTATTTTGCATGTGATGTCAAAAGGTTCCTCCAAATTCACGGTGTCTGGTATTGTCTCCAGGGAAAGCCTTACATCCCCATACCCAGGAGCCTGGAAAAGAACAGGAATGTGTAAGTCTCAGGTGTTGGATAGTAAGGTTGAAGTTTTACTACTCAAGATTACATTTACCGCAAGAAGCTTGGAATAATTGGAATGTGAAAAAAGAAGATTAACTCTGTACTTTAGATTAGTACACAAATCACAGCAGTGCTCCATCCACCACCTTCTTCATAGGTTCAAGAAGTCATCAGACAAGAATGATATTTATTACTACATTTTCCAGATAGTTTACATCGTGAAAGGCTGAACAGTCATACACAATTGCTGAGATCAGCTTTATCCTAAGACCTCTGTTAGGCAGATAAAAGATCTACATGGACAACATAAGTAAAATTTTCCTGCATAAACTCACCACTATTGCACATGCTAAGTAATAAGAGACTGCTCATTCTCCTTGCAATGTCAGTCCTCTCAGCCTCTGCCAAAATAATTAATTGCCACCAGTTAGAAAGTCACAGGTTGAAGGAGGTGATTCTCCCCCTCTACTCTGCTCTTGTGAGACCACTCCTGGAGTACTGCACACAGTTCTGGTGTCCTTAGCATAGGGAGGACATGGAACTGTTGGAGCAAGTCCAGAGGAGGCCACAAAGCTGATAAGAGGACTGGAGCATCTCCCCTATGAGGACAGGCTGAGGGAGTTGGGGCCATTCAGCCTGGAGAAGATTGTGTGGAGACCTCATAGTAACCTTCCAGGATCTGAAGGGGCTACAGGGAAGCTGAAGAGGGACTCCTCTCCTTGTTATGCAGAGACAAGACAAGGAGTAATGGGTATAACTTGTAAGAGGGAAATTCAGGTTAGATATTAGGAAGAAGCTTTTTCCTGTGAGGGTGGTGAGACACTGGCACAGGTTGCCCAGGGAGGTAGTGGCAACACTGGCAGTGTTCAGAGCCACGCTGGATAAAGCCTTGAGCAACCTGCTCTGGTGGGAGGTGTCCTGGCCCAGGGCAGTGGGTTGGCACTGGAATGGGTATAACTTGTAAGAGGGAAATTCAGGTTAGATATTAGGAAGAAGCTTTTTCCTGTGAGGGTGGTGAGACACTGGCACAGGTTGCCCAGGGAGGTAGTGGCAACACTGGCAGTGTTCAGAGCCACGCTGGATAAAGCCTTGAGCAACCTGCTCTGGTGGGAGGTGTCCTGGCCCAGGGCAGTGGGTTGGCACTGGATGATCTTTAAGGTTCATTCAAACTCTTTAACATTCTAAGATTCTGTGATATGAACACTTGTCAAGTATCCAATTCTGTCAAGAGTCAACCATATTTCATACCTATGACATATAACCTAGTAACTGCCCACCAGGGCTAACTCAAAATGGTGACCTTCAGGTAAAAAGTAGGTTTAGATTTTCAATCACCACAAATGATAGATTTTAAGGAAAAAATAAGGGAAAAATTTGTCCCACCTGACAAATTTGTCCCGCCTGTCCGCTGATAAAAGGATACTCTAGTGAAAGTTATATGTACAGCTTGATTGAAAGATATACCTGAGGAGGTCCAAGAAGACAGTGACTGACAGGGTGGGTACAGGTTTTAGTCATATACAGTTCACTACAGACTAATGACAGATGACATTTTAGAAAGTATATTAAATTATTAGAGTAAGCAAAGGGATGTCAAACTAATGGGGACCTCAGACTAGATGAGCAACTATGTTTGGAACCTTTCAAGAAAGAGAAATAATTATTCAGCACTGGAAAAAGGTGAATATATTCAGATGTATCAGGTGACAGGGAGGAATCCACTGGAAAAATGGTACTCAGTTACCTAAGCAACAGGTAGTTTGCCACATTATGCTCTTCTTTTAAGAGAGATACATTAAAAAAAAACCAAACCATAAACTCACAATAAAAGCGGTATTTTCTAGAATAAACTTAGCAGCAAATGACCAAATCAAAACAGGATAAGAGCAGATGAGGCAGCCTATCCCAGTACACACCGGTTGACCTTAAAAATGAGATACCTCTAAGAACTGATGGCTAGAGGCAAAGGCATTGAAGTTAACACCATGAGCAACAATATGGTTTTCATCCAAAACTGAGGTAATTGCTCAGAGTATGGAATCAACTAGACAATTCTTCACTTGAGCTACTCAAGAATAATGTTCTGTAACTTCAGACTGGTACTACTCTAATGCTGCACTGAATGCCTGTGAACAGGTGGAGCAACTTTGGCATACTATGGATATGCATCTGTCTGGTTTAATGTCACCCAAAAAGAATATGGTTCTGAATTCCAAGACCACTCCCCCCCTGAAAATACAAACCACACATTAAGGTGGGGGGGGGGGTAATCCAAGATACTTGTTTCAAAGGTGCATTTCTGACCTGAACCATAACAGTGACAGAGGGGAACAGTGCAGGTAAAATTCTGGACCTGAAACAATGGTTATAGGGCTGGCAAATGGATAGGAAAATGATTAAGCCTGAAAGAAGCCTAGAAATGAAATAATCTGATAGCATTTAAAGGAGAAGATGAGAGGGAGTTTCGTTGCAACTCAAAAGGGGGAAAACCTCAACTATTTGCTGCTTTTCTAAAGACATATGTTGCTCAAAGTACACAAAACAGCTCATGTTTCTCCATTAATCACAAGGCACAAAACTATGATGGATGACTAGAACTTATCCTGGAGTGTCGAGGTGTGTTTTTCACATGCAGTTCTCAAAGGTTCAACAAGGAGGGATGCAGAGTGAGACAGTACTGACTTAGGTAGGGAAAAGAAATCTGACTTTGAAGAGAACTTATAGGAGAGGTCAGTTGAAAATGAGACCATTTATTGTTAAAAATAAACAAGTTTCAAAGTAGCAGTAGTAGCTAAGTCCAGAAAAAAAGGCAATTTCTAATCTGATGGGGTCAAACACATTCTTAACACCTCAAATAAAAATAAGAGTTTTAGTGACTTTTCTGTGAATTTCCAGGATCCAAGTGTGCTTTCCTAGTCCTAAATCAATGTAATTTCCCT